TTTTTTTTTTTTTTTTTTTTTTTTTTGTATGAAGTAAGATTAAGTGTACCCTAGGCAAGACCAAAGCAGCAGAGCTGGGAGAAAAGCATATGGTCTTTGTGACATCCTTTTCGACTGTGGAGAGACCTTTTGTGTTTAATTTTAATTTTTTTCTGGGTTTTAGGAAGTTGGGATTATTAAAAAATCAATCCTTCAATACACAGTTCACACATTTAAATCCTTGTCTACACATTTCAAATTGTACAGGAACAGCTTGATGGCCAAGAACGGTTCCTCTCTCCCTTGGGTCCCTGCTGCTTCCTCAGGCCGTGCTGTGCACACCAAAGGCTGGCAGCACATTTCCATTTATTGCAGCTGGTCTACCCTCCTAACTAATGCAGCTGCATGAGCTCTCTGCCCATTTTTTTAAATCTATTTCAGAGAGAAGAAGGGAGAAGGAGAGAGAGATATAGAAACAATCATGAGAAAGAAACAATGATCGGCTACCTCCTGCATGCCCCCTACTGGGTATTGAGTCCAAAACCAGGCATGTGCTCTGACTGGGAATGGAACCATGACCTCGTAGTCCATGGGACGATGCTCAACCAACTGAGCCACACCAGCCGGGCTCTCTGCCCATTCTTTAGTGAAAACAAATGAGTTTCATAAAAGCCAGAACATTCTGGAGTTGTCATTCCCAAACTTGCACAGCAGAGAATTGCCTTGATGCCTAGAGCTGCCAGGCTCTATGCAGTGTGGGCTCTCCCATAGACAAGGGGAAATGGGAGCCGCATGGACCTCCCATCAGCATATCTGACCCCAGACCTTTGGGCTCCTGGATCTGTCCTGAGTGCCCTCAGAATGACCCAACTGGTCACGTGCACTGAGAAATTCCAGGGCTTAGTGCCGAGTTCCAACTTCTGAAACACCTGGATGAGAGACTCACTTCTTACTAAGGAGTCTGAGAACCACATATTAGAAATCAAGATTCAGCAAGGAACTCCCTGAGGACAGCCATCCTCGGCTTCCTGCATACTCATTATTCGTTATTCATTTCTGTTTCCCTTTCTTAAAGTGCTTTTATGTTGTTTCCTAAAATGACACCTTTCTAAGGTTTTCTCCAGGGACTGCCTTCAAGCTTCAGATAACAACGTTTGCATACATGTATATCTGCAGTATTTATCACTCCTCCAGTAAAGAAGGGCTAGTGAGTGGCAGAGCAGGATTACAACTAGTCCAACACTATCCCTCACATCAAGGTGTCTCCAAGCCTCCAACTTGAAGGGTGTAGGGCTCCCTGGACCATTCAGTGGGACAGGTCCCTTGTACTCCCATAGCCTCCTTCCTAAGAACTAATCAGAATAATGCACATCTATTGGCAACAATTTGCTCATCCGGATAAAGCTGAGGTGTCAAAAAAAAAAAAAAAAGAGAGAGAGAGGAAGTATTAGCCAGGAGCCACGAATTTCATAGAACGGATGCCCAAATATCTCCAGAGGGTTGTGATGCGTTGCACTCAGTAGATAATAGTCTTACTGGATGTAAATGGACAAACAATCTAACGTCATTTTTCCAGGAACAAAAACCCTGACTAGCTTTCCAGAATCATAGGGTGTTTCCGAGTCTCAACACCACGCCCTTCACTGCTGCCACAACATACAGCTAAAGTGCTTTAGCTGGAAGCTTCTTACTCAGAAGGGTTTAACAGGAAATAATGGCTCCATAAACACAAACTCCAAGGGTCCTGTCTTTTTCTTTTGTGGATATATATTTCCATTGCTTTTCTGCCTTCAAATCTACAACACATTTCTTATCTTGAGAAAGATTTCATGAACATGGGTAGAAAATTCTAATTTAGACTTCAGGTGTGGTTCTAACTCTGGACAAACTACCCAATTTCCCTGGGTTTAGGACTCCAGATTTAGAAAAAATAACATTCTCAGTTTTAAGCACTAATGATAACAAGCAATTATTGCATTGCATTATGTCCTACCTGCTTGGCATGTACTATTAGTCCCATTTTTACAGTTGAGGAAGTTGAGGCTCAGAGAGGTCTGGTGGTTTGCCCAATGTCACAGAGATAGAAGGTGACAAAGTCACCATTTGAACCTGGGCTCTCTGAATTTGTAGCCTGACATCATGTTGCTACATCCCAGCAATGACAACTTTGATGCAAGTATAGTGACCTACCCTGATGGTTTCAAAGGACAAAAGGAAATTCCAGAAGCTGGATTAGCAATGTTATCTTTAGGATGGGATTTTGGCTACTTTGCAGGAGGCAAAGGGTGGTTGGTAGGAGGAGCAGGGAATTTAGAGTCAAACTAGATGTGAATCCCATGGTCAAGTTACATAGTCTCCTAGCATTAGATTGTTTTCCTTTGTAACTTTACCAAAATTATAATTTTATATTTATTTGTATGATTAATTGATCTACCTTCCCCTACATACCTCAAGAAATTTGAGGGCCAGGGTTTTTGCTAACCTTTTTATCCCCAGGACCCAATACAGAGCTTGGCACATAGTAAGTGCTCAATAAACATTTGTTAAATAAATGGATGAAAGAGCAAAGAAGGAAGACAGCAAGGGAGGAAGTGAAGAGGGAGAGAGGTGAGGAAAGGCAAGGCTCACTTTAATGTGTGGAGAGAGAATAGGGTGAAAGGAAAGGCAGGAATAATCATATCTATATATATAAAAGGCAAAGTGTCCCTTTGAGAATTCGACCAGGAGACCAGGAGTTCTTACCTGCGCGCTCTGCCGCCGGGGACGCCACCTCGTTCCCATCCACAGACCCAGGAGGAGGCGAACACACTTCTCTGGTCCCCCCCGCGCCGCCAGTTCCCAGGACTTTGCCCAGAACTTCGCGCTCGTCGCCTGCGGATCTGCAGGAGGGGGTGAGCGAGGAGGCGGGGCCTGAGCCCGCCATGGGGCGGGGCCACGAGCGGAGGGCGGGGAAGACGGGAGGAAAGGCAGAGTGACCCACACTCCCACCAATCAGGAGTCGCCCCGGGGAAGGAGGTGGGGCGATGCGCTAGGAAGAAGCGGACGGATTCCATGACGCAGTGGAGGGAGTTGGGACCACGGGTTCCCGACAGGTGCGAAGGGCAGAGGGAGGTGAGAGCTGCGTGGGGCCCGGGAAGGGGCTTCCAGCTGCCCAGCGCGCTGCCTTGCGCCGTGGGTGCTCCATCAATATTTGTGGAGCGGCGTTTCCCGCCTGGGAAGGAGGGAGAAGGGAAGGCGGCGCGGGAGGGGCTGGTTCAAGGAGAAGCTCCCTGAGGACACTTGTGGTCGAACAGGCAAAGAGGACGCGACCTCTTGAGGAAGTCAAATCGAGGCCAAGGGATCAAGAACGGAGAAGAGGGGGTGGTGAAGGGAGGGTTGCAGGCACAGGGCGATGGACGGATTCGGCGTGGGACCCCGCCCTGGACTCTGACCTGACATCCCGAGGCAGCGATGCAGATTCGTGCCGGGTCCCAGGGGAAAACCCAGGAGTGCGGTTGTTTTGTTCTTTGCAGTTCATGTGCAGGGGGTGGGAGGACAGAGAGAAAGCGTCGTAGTTAAAATCAAAATGCAGGAGCTCCTTGAAAAACAATGAAGTCCACCTCGCTCCTCGAGCTCCTTCGATCCTGGCTTGAACGCAGGCAACTGATCACCTGGGGTCAGTTTGCAGCCTGCAGACGTGTAGGGTGATTAACATTCACTGAGCGCCTACTGCGTGCGTCCGACCCAGTTGTGGGCGTGCAGCGGCGATGGTACACCAGGTTCCTGCTCTTGTGGAGCTTATATTTCTGTGGGGAGAGACAGAGCATAAACAAAGAAAATATACAAATGTAAACCAACGAGGAAATGCTGGTGAGCACCGAGGCAATTGCTAAGCAGAGCTTTCAAAGGCGATGATGTGTGCGATAGGGAGCTGCGAAGCACCCTGAGGGCCTCTCTGGGGAGGTGGCTTTTAAGCAGATTCCTGAACCCGAAAAGGAGCCGGTTCTCCCCAGAGCGTTCCAGGCCGAAGGGAACAGCAAACGCAAGGTGTTTGACCTCCCTGAAGACCGTGTAACCTGCCTCGCCGAGCTGAACAATGAATGAGCGTGACTCGCTCGCCTGGCTCGCTGCCCGGCACCTTAGGGGCTCCAGAATGTTAAATTCCAGCGCCATCTGCCACCTGCGGCAGCCGGCATATTTCCAGTTTCCCAACTGACCCCGAATTAAGGTGTCTGAGGCTCTTGCCGGAGCCATGCCGTTCGCATTTCATTCACCTCGCTAGGTTCTCCGCTTCTGGAGCCCTCCCTGTCGCGGGAGGTCGGGGACTGTTTTGAATCTGGCAAGTAGCTAGCGAGGGAGGGCGGATACTGACCAGCTGCAGAGCGAACCCAGCGTCGGGCTGCCCGCATCTGCACACGGAAAATCTTACTGGAGAAGATTTAAAATCGAATGACTAGGAGGATCTTAAAGAATCCCCTCCCCAGCCCCCACCCCCGCCGCCACTCCGCACCAGGAGGCACCTTGGCCACCCCGGCATGGATGGCCTGAGCAGCTCAGATGTTGTTTTCCCAACCCTTCTTGCATTTTTCAGTAATTCCTCTCCCGGTGAGAAGTTCAATTTTTCCTCCCCTTCTTCCCTCAAGCTCTGTTATATCTCTCTTTTTCCATTCCTCTCCCTGCCTCCCACCCTCACCCTGTTACATTAGCATTGTTTTCTGTACAGGAGATAAACCTTACATCCTAAAGCAGTGGTTCTCAACCTTCCTAATGCCGCGACCCTTTAATGCAGTTCCTCATGTTATGGTGACCCCCCAATTTCATTGTTACAAATTGAACACAATTAAAGCATAGTGATTAATCACAAAAACAATATGTAATTATATATGTGTTTTCCGATGGTCTTAGGCGACCCCTGTGAAAGGGTCGTTCGACCCCCACCCCAAGGGGTCGCGACCCACAGGTTGAGAACCGCTGTCCTAAAGGAAGTTATTTGCACAGGGTTTTATTGTTGAAAGGAGCATTGGATTTTTAGCTTCTTCAATTTCTTCCAGCTAACCAAGTGTTTAGCTGGGAGAGAGAGAGAGAGAGAGAGAGAGAGAATTTTATATGTACTCTATTTGTATTTGAGGCAGTCAGTTGGACAGGATGAGAAAGTTATTCATATTCAGATTGTACCTTACCTCCTGGAACAAGAGGAATCATAGTGTCTTTTCATAGCTCCATTTCCTCTTCTACTCCCAAATAAGTTTCCAGGCTCACCAGCTCCTAAACACAAAAGGAAAAAAATTACAGTTGAATCCCACGCAGAGCTAATTATTCTTGAAAAAGCTTGTTAATGTCCTAAAATTGGTTTTCTCCTCAGAGTTTTATTTTAAAGCACCGATCTGCAAATCTACTCCAGCAAGATCAATGGTTCTACAGAAAGAGCTGCTAAAGAGCCTCTTCTTTGAACTGTTGAACAAATGCTTTTTTTACTTTGAAGAGACATCCACCACGGTGGAAAGTTTTCATAGTGGTCTGAATGATCTTAGCTTCTGAAATCCGTCATATATAAGCATGTGCTTAAAGAGTTTACATGTTTTGATAGTAAAGGAAGCCGATGAGAATAGAGTTTTGTGGAGGGAGGACTTCAGAGGCCTCTAGAATCAGACTCCCTGGGTTCCTGTCTTGTGATCTTCCTGACTCTGAGAGCACGCTTCCTTGTCTGGCAAAATGGAGACAGTAATTGCACTTACCGAGCTACAGGAGGATTTTTAGCATCAGCCTGAAAATGCGCTCACATAGCCTAGCTCGGAGTTCTCAGTCTCAGCACTATGGACAGTTTGGGCTAAGATACATTTTTGTTCTGGGCGCTATTCTGTGCAGTTAGCCGTGTCTCTGGCCTCAACCCACTAGATTCAAGGAACACCTTCTTCCCACAGCCAAAAGGTCTCCGACATTGCCAGATGTCTCCTGGAGGGCAAAATCGCTCCTGGCTGAGTACCATTAGCCTGGCGCATAGCAAGTGCCCACAGATTAGGGGGCAGTATAGGGACGTGCTTAAAGATAAGGATTTCCAGAGTGTGAACACCAGGCAAAATTTCCTTCCCTAAACCTCATCAGGAAAAATGGAATCAAAATAATGCTAACTCCTTCAGACTGGCCAAGGATTACATAAGTATGTCCGTGTGAAGGCAATTTGAACAGTGCCTGGCACATAGTAAGCTTAAGACATGAGCTTCTGTTCTCGCTTTCTTCCTGTGAAGTGAGGGTATTGGACTAGGTCAGGACAACATATCTTGGCCTATTTGCTGCTACTCCTCTTCCTGCCTTATGCCGGTATCACTAGTAAGTCAACGCTCTCTTTCCACTGAGCCCAAAAAGAGACTCAGAATCCTTCTAAACACAGCCCTTTAGGAAGCAGCTACTGAAGGGCCAACATGTGAGATGATGTTGAGTTACCATGCTGGCTCTATATAAACTTTAAGCCATTTTAAGATGAAGATCTTAAGTCACTATGCGATTAGAGCCTAAATCTCCCAGATGGTGACTCTAGATAGACAATGTGATGAGAAGGAACTGAGGTTCTTCATTCATCGATCCCTTTTATGAGTCAGGGGGAGAGTGTTCCAGCATCTTGACTAGAATCACAGTCTATGAGCGGTTGGAGGCTGCATCTCCTACCCTCTTCAAGTGCCCTCTTTTGCCACTCCCGCCGCTGATGGGAGGCGGAGAAAACACTTGCCTGAAGCAGATGTGACCTTCCCCACCCTGTGCACTCCTACTCACTTCCTTTCTCCTGCACTTCTATCTGGAAAATGAACAGAAGTATTTCGTTGCGTAGGAACACCATGTAAACGTTCTTTCAAAAGTCCTCATGATTCAGGACTAGACAAGAATCAGTAAATTCCTTCATTAAATACAGACCGACTGCCTCCTTTGTAAGGGACCATTCTCAGCAGGCACTTTGAGAGATCCAAAGATGAGTCAGGGGGTGTCCCTGCCTTCAATGATTTTACAGTTTCATACATTGGGCAGATCAGACATGGACGTAAATAACTACAATATAAGCTAAAAAAAAAAATCGGAAAATGTCCTAAGAGAGGCATGAAAAATGTGTTCAGAGAACGGAGAAATTATTTTGGGAATTAGGAGCAGGGAGTCACTTCCTGCATGTCTTTGCTGACATTTTTAACTTTCCAATCAAAAATTCTTATTTGTTACAATAAAATGATTCTTGTAGAGGAAGTTGCAACATTGTTAGGCTTCCTGGTTTAGACGGAGCTTCTGCTTAAAGTGGATATTATCAGTGCAGCTAAAAGTGACAGTTTATTCTAACTCTAATAGGCATATTTTCATTAGGCATTTAAAAGTTCTGGGAGGTCTGAGAGGGAGATTTCGCACGTTTCGTGACAATAGGCTAACTTTCTCCCAAGCATCTGAAAGAAGCAGCTTTGTAGCATGTGACACTGTGGGAAGATGGGGTAGTTGTTAAAAGGAACCTAACAGGGGTGAAGGGACACCAATGCCATATACTTTGAACCATGAAACCATATTTCCTTCAGGATTTGACTACCTCAGAAGTCAGGCTGCTCATTCCATTATCTTCTAGGTACTATCTCCTCAATACACCGACATCCTATAGTATTGTCCAGGCTAAATACTAAGGATGATAATAACAGTCCCCATGTATTAAGCGTTTCTGTGCCAGTCACTGCCAAATGGGGCTGCCAAAATTACTGCCACTCCTGCCACTATCAGGAGGCTGCCAGTCAAACCAGAAAGACTTGGGATGCTCTGGAACATGCGTCTACCTAAAACATGCTGTTCCTTTCTCCTCGCTTAATGCTGTCATCACCCTTGACTTTCACGGTTAGGTCAAATCAGTCTGTCTGATGCTCTTGTTAGAAGTAAATTGTGTGTGTGTGTGTTGGTAGCACCTATGACAGTTGCAATTATATTTATTTTTGTGATTTTGATTAATTTCTTTCTAATGAGATTACAGGTTCTACAATAGGAAGGCCTATAAACCAGTTGGTAATCTCCCAAGGACCGTCCCAATGCCTAGCAGCTAGTAGGCCTTCAAATGTTTGTTTAATAAATAGAGAGAATCCCGAAGAAGTGGTAGTGGGGGTAGGGTGGAGGGTGGGGGCAGCCATCACAGGCCCGGAAGCCGGAGACTGCTTAATTGCTCAGGTCATACAGATGATCTTGTAGCAACTTGACATCAGAAAGATGCTGTCTCCTTAGTTACCATTTTGCTAGGGTCATAAGCTCACTGACTTTTATTTTACCCTTGAATAGATTTCCCTATTCCTTAGAACGACCACATCAACTCTACCAAATCATATCAAAAGAAACTTCAGAGGAGGACTTAGTTTAGCTGTTTCTACCTTGCCATAACCCAATTCTCATAGATCTTTCCCTGTTTATAGAAATGAAAACAAGGAATCCTTTATGGGCATATATTTTTACCTTTTCTGGAAGTGGCTTTTTCACCTCAGTGCTAACCTCTTCATTTCTTCACTGTTGTTAGGACTTGTATCACGTGGCTTTCACCACATCAGGGGCCCTGTTCACCGATTATTTACTCAAGATTCCCTATCGATCCACAGCAACATGGAATAACACACTCAGATAAAATTAGCACTTCAGGGAAGAAACTGTAATGGTCTTGCTCTGGCTCTGGTAGACTGTTAATATAATAAACTGAATTCCTGGAACCAAAAATAAACTTTTCTGTGAAGAATGTGTACTTGGAATAAGGCGTACCAATACCTAGAGTGCATGTTTTTCCTCGGAGAGGGTGAGACTTGCTGGCACTGTGCAATGGAGGACAAGAGAAACTCTGTTTGCCCTACATCATTATTTCTTGCAAATACTACTTTATAACAAAGGCAAGAGAAGTAAATGTCTACCCACTATTCTGTATACCTGAAATAAATATAATATTGAATGTCAACTGTAATTGAAAAAAAATTTTAAGGTAATAGAAGTTAAAGAAAGGGAATAATTGCCTATAATCCTACCTACAGACAACAGCCCTAGCTTACATTATTATTATTATTATTTAGTGTTTCCTTCTAGTGTTTTTTTCAGGCAGTTGTGATTTTTGAGTAAATGCAAACTTAAATTGTATGTTTTCCTAATTGCTGCTTCATAATTGTCAACAGATTATTGTGAATCCATTAAAATAATTATTGTGAAGACTTAAAAAATCCTGAAAAATATGTATGATATCAACTCAACTGGTACCATAATAGGTATGACTGAATTTTGAAAGAATTCAAAGAACTAGGTTTAAATACCCCTCTTCCACTTAGTAGTTCTTTCATCTTAGGCAGCATTTCCATCATAGGTGGCTCTGCCTGCCTGGGTCCTAGGGTGAGAATGATGAAGATGCAGGAGTACAGACCCAGCCGAGCTGAAATGAACTTCTGTTGTCACATCACTGACACTTTGGAATTGTTACTCTAGTGTATCTCAATCCATCCTATTGATGACAGCAAGGAAAAGGCAGGAAATGGATGTTGAGAATGCAGCCAAGAGTTTATCTCCTTTCATTCCTAAATAGACAGTAAAACCTGTAAGAACTTAGACGTGAGTGCCATGGCCACTGGATGTCCATATCTTGAGGAAGTCCCTCGTGGCCTAGCTCAGAGCAGCTCCCTTTCAACTGTCCAAACACCTTTCATGGCATCACCACCCTTCCTTGCAGCATGGCTCACAGCATTTGTTCTGAATCTTCCCCTCGCTTGTCCATCTCTTCCCATTTACTATCAATTTTTCATTCAGGTGCCTCCCTGGTACATTGCTTCTTCTTTATAAGCCCAGTCACCTCTCAAGGATAATAGAACAGCCCTGGCCGGTTTGCTCAGTGGTTAAAGCATTGGCCTACGGACCAAAGGGTCTTGGGTTTGATACCCGGTCAAGGGCACGTAGCTCAGTTGCAGGTTTGATCCCCGGCCCAATGGGGGATGTGCAAGAACCAACCAATCGCTGTGTCTCCACAATGATCTCTCTCTCTCTCTCTCTCTCTCTCTCTCTCTCTCTCTCTCTTTCTCTCTCCCCTCTTTTCCTCTCTCCCTCCGTCCCTTCCTCCCCTGTCCCCCCTTCTTTCCTTTCTTCCTTTCACTCTGTCTGAAAATCAATGGGAAAAAATATCCTCAGGTGAGGATTAAAAAAAAAAAAGATAATACCTCAACCCCTGTATAAGTATCCTCTCTGATCTCCCAGCTTCCGCTCAAATCTACTGGCTCGGAAGTATCAGCGTGCTCTTCTTCATTTGTGATTTTCATGACACAATTCTGCTTGAAAAATAGCACTGAAAGGCCCTTATTACCTGACTTGTCCTCTGCAAGCTCATAGCTCATTACTTTAAAAAAGGTATCTGTTGCAGGTCCTTGTGAGGCCATGCGTATTCACCATACCTAATGCTAAGGTCTGATGGAAGTTGGTCAATATGGTATCTTACCCATCCTTGCCTTCTTACCCAGAAAATACCAATCATAGTTTCACTGTTAACCTTTCACTTATGATTCAGGATCACTACTTCTTACACTAACTATTGAAGTGATGCAATGATGACCTTGAGAATGAGATGTGTAAAGTCATCTGCCCTGATGGAACTAACTCCTGAGTTATGTATTTAAAAAATGATAAAACAATAAAATAACAAGAATTTATTGAACTTTGACCATGTTCCAGGCACTATTCTAAGTGTTTAATCCTCACTTAATTCTAACAGTCCTATGAGGAAGGTATTATTATCATTTGCATTATTGAGATGAGAAACTGAGCTGGCAAAAGTCAGGGAACACACAAATGTTCTATTCCTAGCAGCATTATGCATGATAGTCCTGACATGGAAACAACCCAAATGTTCATCAACTGATGAATGGATAACAAACTGTGGAATATCTATACAATGGAGTATTACTTAACCATAAAATGGATTCAAGTACTGATAATACATCACAGCGTGGATGAAACTGAAGAAACCTTATGCTAAGCTCAAGAAGCCACTCACAAAAGACCACATATTGTATGATTCCATTGATAGGAAATATCCAGAATAGATAATGCCATACACACAGACTGCAGATGTGTGGTGGTCAGGGGCCAGGGCCAGGGAGGATGAGAAGAAACTGCTTCATTAGCCCGGGGGTTCACTTTGGAGTAATGCAGATGTTTTGGGACTAGATGGAGGTGGTGGTTGCACAGCACTGTGAACATTCTAAATGCCAATGAATCGTTCACTTTAAAATGGTTAATTTTGTTATGTGAATTTCACCTCAATAAATTTTTTAAGAGTCAAGGGAGAGGGAAAAAGAAGCCAACATTTTAAAACTGCTGCCCAGACAATCAATTCATAAAAGAAAGAACATTATTTTTACAAGGAAGGCATCAATGGCCATTGGGAGTAGTTGTGATGGAGGCCGAAGGCAGATTTTTTTTTTTTTTTTTTTTTTTTGTATGAAGTAAGATTAAGTGTACCCTAGGCAAGACCAAAGCAGCAGAGCTGGGAGAAAAGCATATGGTCTTTGTGACATCCTTTTCGACTGTGGAGAGACCTTTTGTGTTTAATTTTAATTTTTTTCTGGGTTTTAGGAAGTTGGGATTATTAAAAAATCAATCCTTCAATACACAGTTCACACATTTAAATCCTTGTCTACACATTTCAAATTGTACAGGAACAGCTTGATGGCTAAGAACGGTTCCTCTCTCCCTTGGGTCCCTGCTGCTTCCTCAGGCCGTGCTGTGCACACCAAAGGCTGGCAGCACATTTCCATTTATTGCAGCTGGTCTACCCTCCTAACTAATGCAGCTGCATGAGCTCTCTGCCCATTTTTTTTAAATCTATTTCAGAGAGAAGAAGGGAGAAGGAGAGAGAGATATAGAAACAATCATGAGAAAGAAACAATGATCGGCTACCTCCTGCATGCCCCCTACTGGGTATTGAGTCCAAAACCAGGCATGTGCTCTGACTGGGAATGGAACCATGACCTCGTAGTCCATGGGACGATGCTCAACCAACTGAGCCACACCAGCCGGGCTCTCTGCCCATTCTTTAGTGAAAACAAATGAGTTTCATAAAAGCCAGAACATTCTGGAGTTGTCATTCCCAAACTTGCACAGCAGAGAATTGCCTTGATGCCTAGAGCTGCCAGGCTCTATGCAGTGTGGGCTCTCCCATAGACAAGGGGAAATGGGAGCCGCATGGACCTCCCATCAGCATATCTGACCCCAGACCTTTGGGCTCCTGGATCTGTCCTGAGTGCCCTCAGAATGACCCAACTGGTCACGTGCACTGAGAAATTCCAGGGCTTAGTGCCGAGTTCCAACTTCTGAAACACCTGGATGAGAGACTCACTTCTTACTAAGGAGTCTGAGAACCACATATTAGAAATCAAGATTCAGCAAGGAACTCCCTGAGGACAGCCATCCTCGGCTTCCTGCATACTCATTATTCGTTATTCATTTCTGTTTCCCTTTCTTAAAGTGCTTTTATGTTGTTTCCTAAAATGACACCTTTCTAAGGTTTTCTCCAGGGACTGCCTTCAAGCTTCAGATAACAACGTTTGCATACATGTATATCTGCAGTATTTATCACTCCTCCAGTAAAGAAGGGCTAGTGAGTGGCAGAGCAGGATTACAACTAGTCCAACACTATCCCTCACATCAAGGTGTCTCCAAGCCTCCAACTTGAAGGGTGTAGGGCTCCCTGGACCATTCAGTGGGACAGGTCCCTTGTACTCCCATAGCCTCCTTCCTAAGAACTAATCAGAATAATGCACATCTATTGGCAACAATTTGCTCATCCGGATAAAGCTGAGGTGTCAAAAAAAAAAAAAAAGAGAGAGAGAGGAAGTATTAGCCAGGAGCCACGAATTTCATAGAACGGATGCCCAAATATCTCCAGAGGGTTGTGATGCGTTGCACTCAGTAGATAATAGTCTTACTGGATGTAAATGGACAAACAATCTAACGTCATTTTTCCAGGAACAAAAACCCTGACTAGCTTTCCAGAATCATAGGGTGTTTCCGAGTCTCAACACCACGCCCTTCACTGCTGCCACAACATACAGCTAAAGTGCTTTAGCTGGAAGCTTCTTACTCAGAAGGGTTTAACAGGAAATAATGGCTCCATAAACACAAACTCCAAGGGTCCTGTCTTTTTCTTTTGTGGATATATATTTCCATTGCTTTTCTGCCTTCAAATCTACAACACATTTCTTATCTTGAGAAAGATTTCATGAACATGGGTAGAAAATTCTAATTTAGACTTCAGGTGTGGTTCTAACTCTGGACAAACTACCCAATTTCCCTGGGTTTAGGACTCCAGATTTAGAAAAAATAACATTCTCAGTTTTAAGCACTAATGATAACAAGCAATTATTGCATTGCATTATGTCCTACCTGCTTGGCATGTACTATTAGTCCCATTTTTACAGTTGAGGAAGTTGAGGCTCAGAGAGGTCTGGTGGTTTGCCCAATGTCACAGAGATAGAAGGTGACAAAGTCACCATTTGAACCTGGGCTCTCTGAATTTGTAGCCTGACATCATGTTGCTACATCCCAGCAATGACAACTTTGATGCAAGTATAGTGACCTACCCTGATGGTTTCAAAGGACAAAAGGAAATTCCGATTAGCAAATTAGCAATGTTATCTTTAGGATGGGATTTTGGCTACTTTGCAGGAGGCAAAGGGTGGTTGGTAGGAGGAGCAGGGAATTTAGAGTCAAACTAGATGTGAATCCCATGGTCAAGTTACATAGTCTCCTAGCATTAGATTGTTTTCCTTTGTAACTTTACCAAAATTATAATTTTATATTTATTTGTATGATTAATTGATCTACCTTCCCCTACATACCTCAAGAAATTTGAGGGCCAGGGTTTTTGCTAACCTTTTTATCCCCAGGACCCAATACAGAGCTTGGCACATAGTAAGTGCTCAATAAACATTTGTTAAATAAATGGATGAAAGAGCAAAGAAGGAAGACAGCAAGGGAGGAAGTGAAGAGGGAGAGAGGTGAGGAAAGGCAAGGCTCACTTTAATGTGTGGAGAGAGAATAGGGTGAAAGGAAAGGCAGGAATAATCATATCTATATATATAAAAGGCAAAGTGTCCCTTTGAGAATTCGACCAGGAGACCAGGAGTTTGATCACTCACTATGACATGCACTGACCACCATGTGGGGTGGCGTG